TGGCCAGCCAGTACTGGTTTTCATTCTTGTCCCTTGCATACAGAGATTCCTCCGGATTCTCTTAATCTTTTAATCCTGTTGTGTACCACAGATGATGAAAATCCCAAGCTCTTTGCTATTTTATATCGAGAAATGTTATTCTTGAATTATTGCACTACTTCTGGAAGACTCAGCCTCTCTAAAATGCTCTTTTTATACTCTTTTACTGGTCTGTTGCCAATTAACCTGATTTGTTGTGAGATGTTCCACCAAGTGTTTTTTAGCATTACACAACTTTACCAGTCTTTTGAGGCCCCTGTCCCAACTTTTTGAAATGTTATTGACATCTTATTCAAAATGATATATTTTTCAAAAAACAATTACATTTCTCAGCTTCAACACTTGATATGTTTGTGCTACTTTGAATTAAATAATAAATGCATTAAATATTAAATGCATTCTATTTTTATTTAGGTTTTGCACAGCATCCCAACTTTTTTGGAAATGGGATTGTAAATGTTTACATTAGACTACCTATTTAAGATTTCAGAACAATAAGTGATGTATATATCATAATGCAGTTTGTGATGGATCCATTTGTTACCAGGGATAAGGTCATTATGAATAAGAGGGAGATTACATCAGAAACAGATGTCAGTGCTGTATTTTTAGTGTCGATGGAAGCTAATGGGTATGCTGATAAAAATTTAGATCTCTCTCTGGGTGTACAATTGTGTAAGTATCTATTTATGAAGATTTTAGGGGGCCAAGTTACCACAGGCCCCCCAAGAGCCATAAGCTCCAGAGTGACTGCCACTCTTCCTGCTCCCCAGTAATTATACCACTGCTTGAAACACAAAAAAGGAATCAAAAATTTTCAAGTGAAGCTAATCATCACTTCAGCAATGGTGTGTGAGTTCAGAGGGAAAATTAAAGCAGTGGTTTAGTATTCTGTTACAAATGTATTCAATTAATATATGATTAAAAACTGCCCTATGTTATTTTATGCTAATTTTACACATTTATTGAATCATGTGAATACCCTGATTCATTAAAACACCCACAAAAACTCAACCACTGCAACCCGAGGTTGGTCAGAATGCTCACAGCAAGGAATAACAAAACTATAATTTGTTAGAGAGCTTATTTGCATACTGCAGTCTACTGCAACATCAGTATCAGGATAACGATTAACAAATTATATATTGCATCAACCTTATCGATAGAATGTGATACTATGATATGTTTTGAAAAAGTTAAGAAGAATTCAATCAATACGCCCAGCACTTACTGCAGCCCCACAACCCCCCCAAAATTTGAATTAATTTGTAATTAGTCACACCAAATTAACTCTGCATTTCATAACAGGATTTCAGGCCTGTACCTTCCCGCAGGCTCTGCAGTGGTGCCTCCTCCTCGTGAAGGAGAATCTGGAGCCACATTTCATACACGCCGGAGCCTGAGAGTCAGGGACCCACTGAGGGGCCGTGGAGCCAAGAGAGCTGCAGCGCTGCACAGGGAGGGCACCAAGAGACCCCCTCCTTACACAGGACACTCCACTCTCTGGGCCAGTCACGTTCACACTGGCTCTGCGGGCCGAGGGTGACTCAGACTCATGGGCAGAGGACAGCGTGTCCGTCTCGGGCCGGCCCGGGTCACCCTGGGTCCGGGCGTCCTCAGGAACAGACAGCGTGCTTCCTGGCACAGCCTCTGGCTGCTCCTGCTCGCTGTCGGCCAGCTCCTTCTCCTCTACCACAGAGTCCTCCTTCAGGCCAGGCATGAGCCAGCCCTCGTCCAGCAGCGCCTCCCTGGAGTCCTTGAGCGTGGAGTAACCGAAGCGTCTCTCTCCCCACACGGAGAGAGTGGCGGTCACTGCCTGCCTCATCTTCTTAATGAAGTTCAGCCAGGCTTGCCAAGTCACTCAGCATGCTTTTTGTCTGCGTTACGTCACACTCAGCTTTGGGGTTTAGCTCCAGAGCAACATAGTCTGGCATGGTCTGCAGGACAATGCTGCTTATCAGTCAGTCAGATGCTGCTCCCTTTGAGACTGATGGACAACCTCATAGCTGCCCTTCTCCCTGTGAAAATGAGGGCTGAGCCAATGTGAATACTGGGGGGAAAAAAGACAAGACTGCTCAACACTACTCTGCAAAGCAGGCTTTGCCAGCCGCAGCAGTTCAATACAGATTTACAGCTATGCAAAGTATCATGCAGTAGCTTTTGCCCAGGCAGTTTAGAATATGCTGACTTAGCCTTCTTTGCGTTAGCTGGAAACCGTCATAACCTGACACAAGGACTTTCACAACGGAATGTAAACGTTTTCACGCTTGAGTTAAGGTGAGGGTAGTTTGGTTTTACTCTAAAAATCATTCACAAACATTAAACCTGCGTCACAGCACCGCTTGCTATTGTTACTAGCATTTTGAATGGGAGAAAGAGCCGGTAGCCCCCCGGGCTAGTACGCTATTCATCTCCGTGTCACCTCATTTAGCCCCCTTTACCGGTCTGTCAGCACTTTTTACTCTGGCTAGCTCTAGCTCATCCGTCAATACGTCTTTTATTCGCATTCATAAGTCTACACCTATGCACAAGCAAAGTGTCTGTACGAAAAGTTCGCGAAGCTACCGCAGATACAACGCAGCCGTCCTTACCGGGCAGAGCCGCTTCGTACGCGAGCATTCGTTCACTAGCAAAACGTCTTCTCGTCATTTATAGCGCACTTCTAAACTGATGGAAGGGAAGAATCCCGCAGGCAGGCAGGCGGCCACATGGCACCCGGTCGCCCTGAGCCAACGACTGCAGCAATGCGACAACTAGAACATGAGCCAGTTAGGCTAAGCCCACGTTAACTAACGTACGGAGGAGCAATAACAGCCTGTTTGCTTTGCGGTAACCGTCGCTAGTCAGACAAGAACGTTAACTAATTGACGTTAACGGTTCAGTACTCACCTGAACCGACGCACACCATCACATACATTACTGATTTTCATCAGCCATCCCAGCCTTGGACTGATCCGCTTCGCTCTCATCTACGCGCTCACTGCGCTCTTGCAAACTCACTGAAGGTTGCTTTGAATCATGTCTTATGAAAAAGCCAGTGACTCAGGCTTGTCCCATTACTCACACATCCTGACCTCAGGGAGGGTCTTGGCAGTGCGAACTTCAAAAATGCAAACATGCCCTGCTGTTGTATTGCCTGAATGTCACCCTCTTTAATTATTCACATATACCTGGACAACAAACCTCCTTTACTGTATTACAGTATAAGTTCTTCCGTAACATAATGCATATTTGCACAACTGTACACATTTTTGCTAATGTTCAAATCATGCTGTAATATTCTGTATATTATGGTTATCATATCATGTCTGCTCAGACCTACCTAAGTACAGATATTCACATCTCTTTAGCTCATTTCACCTTGGCCTCTTATTCTATTCTACATATTAGATTTTTTTATTTGTCCATTAGTGAAATATTTGTTACTGGTTTGTTCAGTATGTTACATGTCATACGTGTGGGCACTCAGAAGAACCCTTTCCTTGTATATGTAACATACTTGGCGAAATAAAGTGATTCTGACTTTGAAGTTTCAGTTCTAAAGTGTGGATGCAGGTCCTGCCCTGCAATACTGAGCCAAGTTACTTAAAAGCTGTGCCTTATTCTGCTGTCACAGTAGCTTTATGGTGCATTTTATTTGAAATAGTGCCACAAATGTCAGATTATCATAAGATCATTAAACCTTGATATGCAACTTTAATATTTACATCTAAAATTTGAGCAAAGATTCTACATTCTGAACACAACTAGCGAAAAAAGGTTCTATGACTTACAAACATACAATAGAATAGAACTGTTTTTGGGACTTATGAGAACCATTTTTTAAAGGTTCTTTACAGAACCATGTACAACAGTTTTTCCATCAGAAAAGAAGGTACCACTGGGGTGGTATCCTCGACTCTTAAAAAAGAAGGTTCTTCAAGGTTCTTTAGTAAAGAAAATGGTTCTATATAGAACCATGAACACTCAAAGAACATTCTGCATCGTGAAAGGGCTCGTCAGATTGATATAGAACATGTTGTAGATGGTTCTGTATAGAACCCTTTTTGAAAAGAGTTCGTCTATTGCAACAAGCATGACGGTGAAAATAGAAGAACCCTTTCTGGTGCTATATAGAACGCTTTTCAAAAAGGTCCTATATAGAACCATCTACAGCACATTCTCCATGAATCTGGAGAGCCCTTTCACAATGAAAAGAACTCTTTAATCATGGAAAGGGTTCTTTGGATGTTCATCATTCTATATAGAACCATTTTTTAAACTGAAGAACCCTTGAAAATCCATCATTTTTAAGTGTGTATAGGGGAATTCTTCAGTACCTTTCGTTAGGGGACATAATTGGACCATATTCCATCGCAATGATATTTTCAAGCTGCATTGACTCCATATTTGAATCCAGGCTTTTTATTGTTCTATTTTGCAACATCAGGTTATGGGTAAAACTCCAGTGTACTTTAAAAAGATGTTAAAAAACACTGCTGGACCTTTGAGGGTACATTTACATTGTTTATACCTTGATGAACAAAAACGTACCTGTACAGTACATTTTTTCCTCTGACAGAACTTTTTAACCATGCAAAGAACCATTTATGTATTAATATGGTTCGAGTGTTTACAGTGCTATATAAAACCATTGCCCTTTAGTGAAGAACGCTTGAAGAACCCCCCATGCCCTCCTTTTTAAAAAAGGGTGTTCCTCTAAAACTGTGGTCACCAACCCTCCAGCTAGACATCTACTTTCCTGCATGTTTCACCTCCAATCCAAAACTGACAGACCTCATTTAGCTAGTCAAAGAGTTAAATTCATCAGGTCAGGTGGGGCCCATTACTGTTGGAGCTAAAGTGTGCAGAAAGTAGACCTCCAGGAGCAGGATTGGTGACCACTACTTTAAAAACACTTAAACTCAGTTTACACCAAAACCCTTTTTTTCCACAGCTATAGAGACCACAGCACTATATAAAAAAGGTTTATGATATTTATTGTTTCATTGACAAAAATAATAATTAAGACTAGTCATTCCTTAACCACACCAATCAATCAAGATTGACCATGTGGTATTCATTCGGAACTGTAAGTCATAGCACATAACCGCCATCTTGTTTTAAGTGCAAGAGACAGGCTGATGAGGATTATCTGGGCAGACTGCCAATTTAAAATACAAAAGTCTCTGGTTTGCTGGAATAGTGTTGAAATGATATGTCTGTTATCTAATTTAAAAATACTGCAACAGGGTCTCTCCTGAACTGCAGTCCCAATTAAAGATGTCTTGCATGATCAGTTCGCTTCGTTCTTCGATGCTTCGTCGAAGTTCTCTACCAGATCTGAGGAAAGATAGAAATATGTGAGACGTGTGCAAATCGTCTTTATATCCTTATGCATTCGCACAAACAGAAGCATGAATATACCTGGGACATCATCGTCCTCTTCATCAATATCCTCTGCTTTGGGGGCTTTGTTGTCGAGAACTTTGAACAAAAGGAAGAAAAGACAAAAGATGAGTCACTAAACCTCAAACTACTTTCTACCATGTGTCATCAGTGAATTGTTTCCCTATTGGGGCTGCACAATATACTAATTGTGTTGCAAATTGTTTTCACAGTTATTGGTCTTGACAATGCTGACATCACTGAAGGCTAGAACCACATATTTTGAGTGTCTGTGTGTTTGATCGTGTAATACACCAAGGTAAACTATAGCCAAAATAAGCCAAAATAATAAAAGGTCAGTGTTTAACTGTGTCATCTTACTGATTCACCAGTGTGTTTTTAACATTAACTGGCGTATTTTAGTATGCAGCATTATAATTGCAGTACTACTATTTTGTCCATGCCAGGCAGCCCTATCCCACACCCACCTTGTCGGGGGAACTGCTCGGCGATTTTACGCAGACTTGTAAGACTGTCTGCACCAAGTTGACTGAGAATGCCAGGAAGCATCTCTGTCAGCTGCTTGGTCTCCGCGTGGCCCGTGATGGCAAACGTGTTGGCAGAGAGAGACGCCTGCACTTTGGGGTTATTGAAGTGAATCACTGTCCCATCATCCTTTATCATGTTAACCTGTAGATTGGGTGGTAAAGTTAGAGGTAGCCTTTTAAAACAAGATAAACAGCAACAAGCAGTATGGCTACTGAGAGTCAGCAATACACCAGCCAACCAAAGCTCTAATGCTCTACCTCCTCAATGCCAGCAATGTTATTCACAGCAAGCTTCTTTAATGAACTCTGAAGTTTTTTGTCATCGGCTGTTGCCGTTCTGTGGACGACCTTCTTCTTCCTACGTGCTGTACCCTGAGAAGAAAAAACACTGACACTGTAGATATGGCATCTGGGATTGAACATGTATAAATTAGTTAATGTAAATGTTTTGTGCCATGTGGTGGTGGGTTCCACAAGTATCAATCAACCACAGAACTGTTTCAACTTTATTGTTAATTTCAGCATCTTAGATATTCAGAAGTATATTTTACCTTGCCCCCTATTCGGACTTGGGCTTGAAGTTTAGCCAGTTTCTCTTGATTCATATTGTCTTCTGTAAAAATAAAATGTTATGGGGTAAACAAAAGAGATTCACATTATATTATCACAAATGCAAATTAAAAGTCTCCAAAATGATTCATAAACCACATTGTAAAATTTGGAATATAAGGGGAAATAAAAAGATGCTCAAACTAATCCATAATTAGTGCAGATGCCATATGGCTATGAATACTTATCACAATAATAGTGGTGGAATTCCACCAATTTTTCAGAAGTGGTTAAACTCACCATTCTAGAGAAGCTCACTGAGCCAGAATTGTTCACACTGGTGGTGACAGGATCCAGACGTCCGAAGTGTTAAACACCTCTCAAAGCCATTTCACAGAAAGCTACTACATGAAATTGTTACAAATACTAATACATTTTTAAAATCCATTTACAGCAGAGAGGTACATGCAGGGCATTGTATGGCAATATAGACCCCAAAAAACCTTTTTTTTAGGATTTACCACTATTCTACCATTTTCAACTTGCATATAAAACTGAGAAGACATGTAGGTTCCTTGGTAATTTTGGATAGTAAATAAAATGACTACATTTGACTCTTGGTTCCTATCACCACCACTGTAAAGAATGCACTATTTTATAACAAGCCACTAGGAATGACTTTATATCTCAATTAATTTATTATGTGGTAATTTAGAATGATTGGTGGAAATCCCCTTTTAAGATCTACACTTGTACTATTTTTTTTTATTTCATGAACCAACTTGTCTCTGCAAATAAAAAGTATCCTATAAGGCTCAGCCTGTTCAACAAGATTAAGAGCCAGTTTAAATTTTCTGTTTTATTCCCAGAGTTCACTAAGCATTGCAAGAGTTGTTTTGGTAGCATAATAATAAAACATTATCTTTGGCATCATACACAGTTAAAATGGTGCTAGCTTACACAGAGAGAATTCCACTGTTTTTTAAAAATTTCTGTACAGTTCAGTGGTTGAGATATAAACAAAGCCATTCAGATTGGTTTGATGTGAAATGATTAATTTTCAGAGAACTTAGGCTGCGTTTACACAGCAGGTAAAAGTGGCCCAAATCCGATCTTTTTCCTCAAATGTGACACAGATGTGTCATCTGTGTGGCAGTGTGAACAGCAAAAAACGCACTGAATCTGACATTTTCAATTCCGATTTGAGACGCTTTCATATGTGGTACTGAAATCCGATACGTATCCGATCTGCGGCAATGCGACTCAGTCTGAACAGCCAGATCAGAAATTCATGCGACTTTTACGTCAGTACAACTCGACATTCGTCATAATTTCGCGCTGCTGAGACTCAAACATTTAGTCTAATGTTTCTGTACCAAAACATTATTAGAGACTCATCAAACCGCTCCGTGATCGAAGAGGTTTCGAACGAAACGGCCGAACGCGGCCGGAGGAGCCCGAGGCTGCAGCGTCAGAGAACAGTTTAAAGAATCCGAGGACTCGAACCAAAGAAGCGGCCGTGGCCGAATAACGTGCCCTTTTTACGGCGAACTCGAACACATTCTGGGTGATGAGTCCAGCTGTCAACTACTGGAACTTTATACTCGCTCATGTGATGCTGGCGAAGACGAAACTGAAAGCTGCGGGAGTGACTGGCCTTCGCTGGCCGTCGTGACTGTTTACCTCTGGGCGAGCCGCCACGTGAAGCACTGTTCTTTTGCGCATGCGGGTCGGTTTAGGAGCTGATCTGTTCAGACTGATGTCGCATACAGGTCACATTTAAAAGATAATGTGAACAGCCAAACAAAAAAATCGGATTTGGTGAGAAAATCAGATTTGGGCCACTTTTACCTGCTGTGTAAACGTAGCCTTACTTATGCCTTTAGAGTAGTTGTGATTGAAACAAGGACTCCTGATGTATGCAATGCAAATGGAGCCATTTTATTTACTATCCAAAACCACCAGTAAACCTAAACGTGTCAAAATAGTGGTAAATCTTAAAATTCTTTGGGGACTATTTTGCCTCAAAATACCCTTCATGTATCCCCCCCACTATGAGTAGATAAATATTAAGTCAATAAAATACATTTTAAACCAAACTTTTATCAAAAAGTTACTTTAAAACAATGTCTCAGACATCAGGCAGTGCATTCATAACCATTTAAGGTCATACTTTTCTCGGAGGAAGGTTTTAGAGGCGTTAGAGACTCCTCAGACGTCTGGTTCCTATCATCATCACTGTGGACAATACTGATTCTGTAAGTCTCTCTAGAGCAAAGGGTTTCATACCAAACCACTCTGCATGATTATGCTGACATGTTAACCATTTAATTATGCAGAAATTTTGAAAAAAAAGGAGTTCCCCTTTAGCTTTGAACTACAGCAAACAAATTACCCAACGTCCTGTTTAAGTTAACAACATAGGAAACGTCATCTATAAATGTAACCAAAAGTCTAGTGACACAGTGACCGTGCTAGCGAGCTAGACAGCCAGCTGCAAATTCCCGACGAGAAGATGTCTGTCTGTCTGTCTGTCTGTCAGAGACATTCCGGAGCTTAGCTGACGGGCTAGCTCGCTGCCTCACGCTACTGTCTATTTTCCGTGGCCGCAGTATTAAAACTACGTTAGCTACATTATCACACCGCTAGATGGCTAATTTTACAAAATAACAAAAAAACGGACAGATGACAAAACGGATAAAACGTCGTCACTTATACAAGCGCTTCTCCGATTATGAGCGGCGAATAGACTATACAGTAGCGTAGCGGCTATGGAAGAGCAGTCATCGCCGTGCTGGGCAGGCAGGGCGCTATTCACTTCATTCGCCTACTAACGTTACATCCACGGGATGAAAACAATCCGCAGTGTCAACACAAATTTAACTAACAGATAAGAACTACACCGAGCGAACTACACAGAAATAAGATGTACAGGCGTATAATTCGGCCATTATTATTCTCACAAACGTTCCTAAATAATGAAGCTTTCATAGGTTAAATAATAATTACAAACCTGTTACCCACAGCTGGTCAGAAAAGCATGCGGCGGAGGAAGAAGGAGGAAATGAGGACACAAATTACGTCACATTCACTTTATTTGCTCAGACATGCAGTGGGTTTACAGTGCTGCCTCTGCTGGTCAGGACAGGACAAAACAGGACACCAAGACGACCCAACGAGGAGCACGAATGAGTATTTACAAGAGGATATTATACATGAAGTAATATGAGCATCTACAGGAACACACTGACGCTGAAGTAGCTAAGATAATGTTTGAATTGAAAGCTTGTTTTCCATGGACGCTTTAAAGAGGAATTCCACCGATTTTTCAACATTTCTGTATAGTTCAGTGACTGAGATGAAAACTAATTCAGAGTGGTTTGATTTGAAATGATTCAGTGTAGAGAAACTTGCCAACTTAGATTTCTTTACAGTGGTGGTGATAGGAACCAGGGGTCATGATGTACACAACACAAAAATTGCTATTTTTGCACTATTCAAAACCACCAGCTAACTTATACGTGTGTTATATTTTGTTGTTGATAATGGCAACATAGCCATGAATGTTTCGTAAAACAGTGTCTCAGACATCAGGCAGCACCTTTGTAACTATATAATGTAATAACTTGGGAGCTTTTAGAGGCATCAAACGCTCCAGGCGTCTGGATCCTATCACCAGCACTGAGAACTAATCTAACTCTGGAAGTTTCTCTAGAACGGAGCATTTCAAATCAAACCACTCTGCACTACTTTTTTTTTACATCTTAATCCTTTAATTACAAAGAGATGTTGAAAAGTCAGTAGAATTCCCCTTTAATGCATGTAGGCCACTCAACTTGTTGTTAATTTGAACGAGGAAAATGTTACTAGCACTAGAATAAACATGAAATCTGACTTGTGGTAAAATAGTTTTACTTTCACTAGGAGGAATTATACTTTGTAAGTATTATATTGTTATATCTTGTAAGATTTATCACTAGTAGCTCAATAATTATGATAATAATTAATAATAATGATGTTTTCCAATTCATTTTGATCAAAGCAACAACTTTTACATGTACAAATTCAATTATACATTGTGATAATTCAATTGTCAAAAGTAAAATGAAAAACAATGATATTCTGTAACCATAACAACATTCTGTACTTGAATTCTTACTAGTGGAAAGTGAATTGTTACATGTTAAATGTAGTTCTTACATCTAAGTGCAAAACATTCCATTATGTAATATGTAATAATTAGAATTTCAGTCTTCAATAATTGTTAAAGTTGCATTTTCACGTTACAGTTGTTTTGAACATGTCAAATGTCATTTTTTACTAGTGCCAATAATCATTTTACTCATAAAGATTTAATTTCTGATATCAAGAAACTTTGGATTAAAAGATAAAACAGCATGCCATATGCCAACTCAAGATGGGTTCAGCTGCCCTGTCTGAAATTCTCTATGGAAGTTGCTTGCCTCTCTTGTTCATAAGGATGGATAGTTGAAGCTTAAAGGGGAATTCCATCAATATGTTGCCTAATTTAATGGTTGAGATCTAAACAAAGTAATTCAGAGTGGTTTGATGTGAGTTTATTGTAGAGAAAATTCTTCTTTGCAGTAACAATGATAAGAACCAGGGTTCACAATGTCACAATGCAAATATAGCCTCTTCATTTACTATCCATAATGACCAGGGAGACTACATGTGTCTTCTGAGTTTTATATGTAATGCTGATAAGGGTAAAATGGTGGTAAATCTGAAAAAACATGTATGACGTGGCCTGCATGTACTTCCCTGCTATGCACAGATAAAAAAGTATGTTGTATCTTCAAACGTCTGTCTCAAAACCATTGTAAAACAAACTCTCAGGCAAAGACAAAGTATTTGTACCCATTTCATATAATAGCTTTCAATCATTTCGCTTTTAGAGTCATTCGGCCAGTTCCAGTTACAAGCACTGTCTAGACTAGAGTACCACGTTTTACATCAAATCACTCTAAATGACTGTTTATACCTTCACAATTTAAGTAAGCCAGAAATTTGGAAAAATCAATGATGCTCCCCTTTAACCTCTGTCATCATTCTTTACTTAATGTGCTGTGCAACATCATTTAGCATGCAGTACAAGTCTGAAAAAAAGCAGAACACACAATAGACAACACAGAAAATAGCAAAATTACTCAAGAGCTGGTGAGCTAAATAGCTTACAGAAGACTCTTCATGACACACACACACAAATCATCTTCATGAGTTTTCCCAGCATTGGAAATGAGAGAAAAGTTTCACATTTGTGTTTTTCTTAATCTGAAATAACGAGTAAATTCTATAGTCAGAAAAAGTCCAATTCAATGCTGTATATGTGGCATGTCTGCACTCAAGCTGATTATCCAGGTCTGGTTTCTACCAGGTACATCTTAGAATCTGGGCTTTTCTCTTTTAAAGCCCCAAGGAACCTAAATCCATGTTTTCTTTCTAAGTAGATAATATACAAGTACAAAGTACTTAGTAAGTAAGTAACTTTCCAATGGAAGAGAAATGTCCAAATTCTCCTCTTTCGATGTAAACTGGGCAGAACTAACGTAGTAGGTAGTACTTACGTAAGCATTACCCTCACCAATCTTACATCAAGTGGCTTGTCCTGCAAACGCAGCTTTAACAAAACTCTTCCCCAACAGTTGGAGTTGGAGAAACATACTGAGAGAGCACTAACAACAAAAGCTAACCTAGCAGGCATAACTAGCTAAGTGAGCTCATCTCTCTGCCTGTCATCCGTTTGTTTGCTCATCTGTCTGTCCATCCGTTTGCTTGTGCTTCTGTCTATTCCTTTGTCCATCTATCAGTTAGTTCGTTCATCCATCTGCTTGTTCATTCAGTATTCCCTGGATGCACGACTATCAAGTCAATAAAAACCTTACCTTCTTTAAGACGTAGTCATATAAATGTTGGATAATATTTTTACCAACCACATGCTCACATTAGCAGGTGACCAAGTGACGGGCGACCAGTCAGTTTGTATCTGTGATTTAGTGACAAATGGAAAGCAACATGGTGTTAGAGCAACAAGCCTTGAGTTGAGATTTTCCAGAGCCAGTTTAGTGAAAAGCTCATGTTTTTAAGCCATGTTTTAGCATTTTTCTATCCTACGTCTTTCACTCTAATAAATTTCAAGGTCATACAAACATTTTTAATATTTTATACTATTTTCCTTGGGACTTTAAACAGACCATATCCATGGCTAAACCTCTACTGTGTTCAACTCTCTGGTTCAAGGGAAGTGCCCAATGGGTCTCAAGAGAGTATCTGGCAGGAATTGACCATCCAAGCAGATGAAGTCTGGTTTGCTGTTCACAGAGCTGCTGGTCTCCACAGAACTCCCCAGAGTACTAAACCTCCACCCAAAGGCGTGTTTTGGACGTGGGCTGTGGCACCTCTGTGCCAGCAGGAGAAGCCTCTTCAAGACAGCCTTGCGCAGAAGAATGTACACCCATGGATCAAGAATCTGATTCCACGTGGCCAGGCGCACAGTCAGTAGCAGGTGACCGTTTGCATCTTGCCTTTGCTCTTGCGAGGTTATGATAATGATTGTGACCTGAAAATCGAACCAAACAATGATCTAAATAATGAGAGCATTTTTATTTACAGATGTAAGTACTGCACTCTTGACAATAAAAGTACCCAGAAGGGTTCTTTGGAGTGTTGCCACAGAATAACCATTTTTGGTTTCCAAAAGAAACTTCAAATGGATGGTCCTTTAAAAAGTCATTTTTTAGAAGCCAAGCATCTCATGATTCTGCTTTGTAACTCACTCACTAATCCATTCACTTACTCATGTTTAAAAGGCTGAAGATTCTCCACCAGGGGGTGCTATTAGCTAGTAGCTTTTGTTGCTTCATAAGAGCAGTGTTTCACATCAGTGAAACTGTGTGTTCTTGTAGTAAATGTATGTAAGTCCAGTCCTACCAGGTAGAGTATCTTAGAGAACAAAAAAATCACCTTCTCTGTCACTATATCAAGCTTTGTATCTTAAAATATAATATAAAATGTAATAACTTCTTGTCCTCAAAATATTGAATTAGCATTTTAAAATAATTATGTATTTTCTCTAAAAATGTATTTACCCTTATAAAGTAATGACTGATTTTTGATTTTTTGAATGTGTCTCAAAATAATAACTTACTATGCTGAAATAATAACCTATTATACCACAATAATTGATTACTTCCTTTAAATTGAGTAGCTGATTATTTTGAAATGATTTACTAGAATTTTGTGTTAATAACTCTAAATAAAAACAAAAATCAAGCCATAATTTTGAAATAATGAATCAATATTTTGAGAACATATGTTATTATTCAAGTCCTGTTCATGTTCATTATTCAAATGTTGACAGCCTGCTGCCAGAATCCAGGAGATAAAAATCAGGTGCTTTTCTTCTCTACAGGAATGGGCTTTCATATACACCTTGTATCTACACTCTTCTTATCAGCTAGTTCTACACATACAAACTGTAGTCCATCTGTTTCTCTGCATATTTTGTTAGTCCCCTTTCACCCTGTTCTTCAATGGTCAGGACCCCCACAGAGCAGGTATTATTTGGGTGGTGGATCATCCTTAGCACCATAGTGACACTGACGTGACGGCAGTGTGTTAGTGTGTGTTGCTCCACTCTATTAGACACTCCTACCTTGTTGGTCTACCTTGTAGATGTAAAGTCAGAGACGATAGCTCATCTGCTGCTGCACAGTTTGTGTTGGTCATCCTCTAGTCCTTTATTAGTGGTCACAGGACGCTGCCCACAGGATGCTGTTGGCTGGATATTTTTGGTTGGTGGACTATTCTCAGTTCAGCAGTAACACTGAGGTGTTTAAAAACTCCAGCAGCACTACTGTGTCTGATCCACTCGTACCAGAGCAACACACACTAACACACCACCACATCAGTGTCACTGTAGTGCTGAGAATGATCCACCACCCAAATAATACCTGTGATGTTGTGGTCCTGTGGGGGTCCTGACCATTGAAGAACAGAGTAAAATGGGGTTAACAAAGTATGCAGAGAAACAGACAGACTACGGTCTGTAATTTTAGAACTACAAGGAGCACCAACATGTTAAGTGGACCAGATAAAATGGACAATGAGTGTAGAAACAAGGAGGTGTACTTAATGAAGTGGCTGGTCAGAGTAAATGAGATGCAATTTTAGGATTGTTGTTCTATACAATTGAAAAACATTTCCTAAAACTATTTAGGAAGCTTTATTTTTAAGAATGTGGATGACTTCATATGATCATTTTGAAAAATGGCAATTACTTTATTTTCATTAACCAGGTTTCCATCATCTTTATGTACATTTTGCAAGTGTTCAGGCAAGTCTAGTTTTGCCAGACCGCCAGGCTGCATGCTTTCTCCTCTGCAGCTTTTGGTAAATAACGCAAGGGGCAATGCAGCCATTTTAAAAGTGAGAGGGATACAGTTGTCAGTACACGACACACCTCAAACCCCATACAAGACAATTTGTAGGTTCAGTATTACTATTATAAAGCCTGTAGCAGTATATGCATTTTTACAATCAAGTCAATTTCAGTGCTTGGTGCAGAAATATACAAACATACCCCACAGGGAAGTCCAGCTCACAAACATATGGTCCAAAATTAGCCTTTCAGAGTTTTTAGCTAGACACACATCTGCTCCAAGAACACAAAACTATAGTCATGCTTTAAAATAAGAAGCCGACCCATCACTGACCAGGGGTGGGTAGTTACTCAAAAATATTCCATTACAAATTACTACTTCTCTCAAACTGTAATGAGATCACTTATTACTGCCAAGAAAAGTAATCTCACAGTTCCCATTACTGTACATCTATGTTACTTTCTAAACCCCAAACATATCTGTACCAACCTAAAATAACCTCTCACATCATTTAAAAGGCATCTCACCATCACATAAAATCCAGTGTGAGAAAGTGCAGGTAAAACCCTGTTAGCTGACCGATGGGTGGGGAAAAAAAGGCTACTTAAGTGACCGTTTAAACAGGGAATGCAGCATTAATTATCATTCACTGAAAGTTCACTTAAAAGGCTGTCACATAAGTTTTGCTTTATTTTAAAAAAAGTTGTTTGACACATTCCCATCACGAGTTTCATGTATATCCTCTTGAGACCAAGAAAAATGTAAATTTGAGAATTTCAGAAATTTTAAGATAAAATAAGTCTATGGCAGTCTACGAAAAGGCAGAAATCCTGTTGCGAATACCCCCCCAAATAATAATATTTGGAAATCAATGGAAAGGCCCGGATGTCCTCTACATGGTGCCCCAGGTATTAGCACTGTAGCTTTTATGGTTTTTGCAGTATCCTTTGGGGACTCATGTCTCCCACAGAGGACAAAAATGAATTATCAGGCATTTCAAGGATATTACAAATTAAGTACATTTTTTTTTGTTTGGCTTTCCTGACTTTTGCATGAGCACAAAATATTGCTGATGTTTGTAAAATCTTACCAATAATTGTCGTTCGCATTACCTACATGATTCAACTTTTCAAACCATGACTTTTTTTTTTTTCAGAAAGTCCTTCTGATGGAAACCTGCTATATACAGAGCGATCTACAGTGTGTTGAACATGATTTTTCTTTTGCACTAATGTATACACTATATCTAACACATACAGAAGTGAAGTCCTTACCAGCAAAGGCCCCCAACACATGCAGGACACAATCATGATAGCAAGGAGCTGGCAGACCATCTCAAAATGGATGGAGCTTCTGTGATGGCGGTGGCAGTCATGTTCACTGCGCAGTCTGGACCACAGAAGAGTGAATCCTGTCACAGTGTTGCACACAAACGAGACAAGGAGAGACAGCAATCCCAACACAGAGAAGATCATGGGGAGGAGAATGTCCAGCCAATCACGTGACCCAACCATGCGGAAGAAGCACCAGCTACGGGACCCCTGAACCTGATAGGGCCGCTGCACTAGCACTGGTAGCAGGGCCACCAGCAGAGCCAGGAGCCAAGTGAGTGCCAGCAGTCTGTTCACACGGTTAGAGGTCAAAGCCATAGAGTGAAAGAGCGGCCGAGTGACTCCCATACAGCGCTCCACAGCCATAATGCTTCCAAGCAGCAGGGGGCTCAGACCAAAGAAAGCCATGCAAACACCAAAGAACCCACAAAGAACCTTCTTGGGGTCAAAGCTCTCCCAGTCTTTGCCTGAGGCATATACATATAGGGCCAGGGAGCCATTCATAACATGTCCGAGAAGATCAGTCAGCACCAGACCACTAGCAAAGAACAAGAAGGAAGCTTTGGACTTGAGACGGAACCGCCGATAGGCTTTGAGAACGATGAAGAGAGCCAGAGTGTTGGAGACAATGCCCACTGTCATGGTTATGACAGTAGTGACTGACACATCTCCTTTACTACAGCTCTCATTATACATACCGCTTGAAGGTCCTGCTTTGGGTGTCATATGGTAAGACATGATTGACCAGTCTAGTCTGTAGAACAAGCAAATTAAAGCATTAGTTACAGGACTCTTACATTCAACTTGATGTATAGATGACTGAACAGATGACACTGTAAACTGAAGTTGTATTGAATTGTACATTCATGTACACTCTTGATTTTGTTGTTTAAAATGTGACCGCAGAAAATTTCATTTTTGTTTTCAGAATGTCCAGAATGTTTAGTGAAGGGTTTTACTGAAAACCTTTCAGTAAGATGGCCACACATAATTTAAACAATTTTAAACAAAGTAATTCAGAGTGGTTTAATGTAAAATGGTTCACTGAGTCCATTTACATGCACTTAATACTGTACAGATACAAATACAGATTTTGGCAGTGAACTGATTATTCAAGTGGTCAAGTAAACAGCAAACTCCACTTTCTTAGATCAAGCGAAGGCCCAGACTAAGAAATCAGAATTTTAATCAAGTTTTTCAGGGCATGTATACCCTTACTCTGATTTCTTTTATTTTTCTCACCCTACACATGTTAGAAAAACCACTGTCCCAGAAATAGCATGCAACGTTTAACATAGCATCCACAGGATGGTAACAAAACCCTTTTGGAGCGATGCTAAATCCAGCTACATGCTTGACGAAATGAAGGATTTAAATATTCTTCATCTTCTAGATTATGTTTAATCATATTTTCTGCTGACTTGATGTTTTGTTTTTTTTTTACAAAAGTGGCACAACTTTTAAGTTTTATATTTTGTTTATGTCATATCTTATTCTATGGGTTTACTTGAGGGTGACAAAGCAGAAATTCATTTAGTGCCTGACTCATATAAACCTTATAACCATATAAACCTTCCCTTTATCTGATTACCCAAGTGCATGTAAACGCACTTAACCAATTATGGACAAAATCTGATTTTCTGCAGTTATCAGATTATGAAGTGCATGTAAACGCATTCAGTGTAAAAGAACTTGATTCAGATTTTCTTTACAGTGGTGCTGACAGGGTAACTAGATGTCCCTGTTTTCCAGCTGAAGCTGTCCCCAGTTTTAACTGTGAATTAAAAACACACCAGAAATTCCTAAGAAAACTTGGCAGCAGAGCAAGTGGTAAAAGTGTTTTGGCCAACACTTCTACCACTTGTTTGCCAAGTGTTAGAGAATAATGCTTGTCCTCAACATCATCACAAATGTCTTTTCAAGACACAAGGTAATCCAGGGATTAAAATTAGGGGTGGGGTTACAGGACTTGATTCATACTACTAGGTAATCAGATCTGTACAGGCATACAATCTACTTACATGTAGGCTACCATGCGCAAATAGAGACGAAATAGCAATAAATGCAAATAGTGCATCATTTTTTTTAACTGTGTCACTTTTTCAGCCATCCACATATAAAATGACATATGGTATATGTTGATAGCAGCCGTCTTTGCGACAGACTAAACTCTTTAGACTACTAGTTCTTATCACCACCACTGTGAAGAATTCCGAAGTTTCCCTATATTTTATGTAATAACTTTCTGTGCATCTTAAGCATTTAATTCTGCAGAAATTTTGAAAAGCAGCGGAATACCACTTTAAATATGAAATGACTTTAACAGAGTTGGGTTTTGCAAAAGCACCCTAGCACAAAGACTGTTAGTGAGCATCATACTGAACAATAACTCTACCAAGATGGTCTTTACATTAAGATGCATTTGAAAAACCGGGCCCAGGATGATAAAAATTTAGTTGACTTTTCTTTTAAAACTCATGCAAACGTATTGCCTCGAAAACATGAGTAAAGTTACTTTAAGGGTTCAAGCTCATGTAAGTGTATGTTTGAGTAGTTACTAATTTTCAGTGATCCTCACGTTTATAGCAAGTAAAGTTAACTCTAACAGAGTAATCATTTTAAACAGTTTCAATACGTCGACAATACTCCACTCTCTCGAGTTCTGCCCACAAGATGAATTGGGCTCCCTATCATCAGTGTAGCTTTGATGACCACATATTAAACAACATTACGTCACTGAATACCGTCGTTCGAACTCTTTTTCTTTAACCTCAACACAAAACATCACGGTGAGAATAACAAAAACGTGTGGAATGCATTCAAAGTTTACATTTAGCTTGCACTGTAACACGGCATTATGGGAACATTACATTATTATGTGAAGAGAACAAATGAAAAACGTCAAAAATAAAAGTTAATTAACCGAAAACCGCTAGGAATGCTGGGAAGCTTTTGGGGCAAAAGTCTCTTCAGACTGTAAAACCTTTCTAAATGAAGTGATCTTTACTGGCTTTAACTAAACTTAACTTTAAGTAACCGCATTATACAATAAGTAGTAAGGGTAGATTTGCATTAGTAAGTTTAATAAATAAGTAAAGTAAACCAAAATATATCAAAATGACTTGAACAGGACGGAAACTCAGACTCCTATTTAAGAAATCAGACTTACAGTCAGGTCCTCGCTTCCAGTGCTCAGTTGTTCTGAGAAGAAGAGGAGGTCAGGATTCACAGTGGAAGATTTAAGGTAAAGACTTTTAAAAAGAACATTTCTGTCCTGCCGAGCTCCACATACATAGTCTGATAAAGAAACTGAAGTAACGTGCTGCGGTCATCCGGTCTTTCATGGCAGTGTTGAGTTCTCTCTTCACATCCATCCAAAACAATGCGCGGCTCTACCTGCGCGCGTGCACTGCGGTCTCGGGGCGGAGCGCGCTCACGGGCCAAAAAAACGAGAGAGAAGAGCAGAAAAGTGTCCTTTCATCGTAAAAGTACAAAAATAAAAAAATACATGATTTTCTGTATGTCTCGTTTTTTTAAATGCATTAAACTATAATTGAAATTACGATGAAGGCCTGTGCAATATCAGCTAAGGAAGGCATTTACTTAAAGGGGAACTCCACAGGTTTTTCACAATTTCAGCATAATTCAATCTTTGGGATGTAAATAAAGTCACTCAGAGTGTTTTGATATGAAATGCTCTGTTCTAGAGAAACTCACCCATTAAGATTTATTTACATTGGTGGTGATAGGATCCAGGTTTCCCAGTGTCTACAAGTACTGCCATTTTATTTACTACCCAAAACCACCAGTGAAACTTCCCTTGCCTTATTTACTTTGGCAGTAGTAATCTGATAAACATAGGCTACATAGGCGTTATGTACAAAGTGAACTGTGAGATTTCTGTGAACATTAGTGTTTTGTTAAATGTGTTATAGATTTCTGTTATTCAGCTTTTTTTCTCAATTAACAATAAAAAATGAATGAATTAAAAATTCTGCCACTGAAAATGTTTGTTCTTCAACTCAAGAAGAAATATAAATAGAAGACGTCCACTCATATTTATTAATATTTTACCAAGGACATCTCTGCTTTCACTCAAGGACACTTTTTCCAGCATGAGAAGCAACACAACAAGTAGAGAGAGAAAAAAGAGTGAGTTAAATAAATAAATAAACAAATAAGCAAGCACAATTGAGTCATGGTGAAACATGGCCGGTCTGAAAATGACAGATTGGAATAGTAAAAAAAGCCACTGACTGGATTTCTAACAGGCAGCGATGGAAATCTGCCCTATGAAGTGAGAAGGTTTTTATTGTAAGGTGTGATGGCCTCCACAGGCAGCCTATTTCACAGAAATCCTGACCAAAGACAGGTCACATTAACTTACAATGTAGCGTTGAGAAGCATTAAGGAACTACCCTATTACAGCAGTACTACTTCACAGCAGAAGAGATATTACCTTTTGTGTGTGTGTGTGTGTGTGTGTGTGTGTGTGTGTCTGTGTGTGATGGGTGTGAGCGCATGCAGTGTGAGGTCTCTAGAAGCCGAACAAGATTGCAGCTCTTTATCCAGCAGGTGTTACACTTTCTTTTCCACACTATTTCTCTTTTCTGTGCTGTGCTCTGGACATTATGTGTTCTGTGTCCCTCTTTCTCAGTCATTCAGACCACTCTCTGTGACAGGCTCCCCTTCGTGGAATGACTAGACCAAAAGAATAGGTGCAGAGGGAAAGTTTTCAATTTGCGCCTGAGTTGACATTATTATTACAAGCAAAGGCAGAAAAAGCAAGCTGGACACATAAAGTACAGGATGATGGTAAAGTGGTAGACTTTTGCACTGGGAACAGCCGAGTCACCGCTGCTTAGCCAAACCAAATAATTTCAACCTAATAACAGTAATAGGAGTAATAACAGGAGGTGGTATTTTAACTGTGATTAAGATTGAAAGCCATAATGCTGTGTACGTCCTGATGTATAGGCTACAGCCAAGACGTAAGCAATGTACGACAAGGGCTCCTCTTCATTGTTAGGTCACGCAATATGTGAAGGTACAACAAAACCATGTATAATAATCTAATCAAATTGCATGTGGAAGGGGAAAGTGAATTTTTAAATTTGATTTTTTTCTTGACATCCACTTAGAACATTTGTGTGGTTTTTATGTACCCACAATGGTCATAATCAATGTGTGAAATGTCCCCTGGTATTCAGGGGGTCCCATGTTGGCTTGCTAATCCAGCATTGGCTGGCTTTTCACTGCCCATAGTGGTGCTGATGCTAGTGTCAGTGGCAACAAAATGGTTTAACATTTCTTCTTTTGGAAATGCTCTTTTCTGGTTTACTAATGTAGTTTTACACTCATTAATTGAGATCTTATACATCTCCTCATTTGTCTTGTTTGAGAAATTCACTCTTTCCACCAGTCTCCTGGGAAAATTTGGCAAGTTTTCAGATTTACAAATATGTTAAGGCATATTGTAAATTTTTTAGGAGTATCCTGGGCATAGTTACAGTCGCTGGGCTATGAAGGACTAATTTGGTGAACCAGTTTGTTACTGCACCATCCTGAGGCAGAACACTGCAACATTTCAAGTTAGTCAAGAATACTAAACACAGAAGCTTGTTAACTGTGGGTGAAGTAGCTAAACAATGATAACATAATGTCATGTTAAGATTATTTTCAGGGACCCCCACAGAATTTTGATTTTGATTCATCCACTTTCCAGTCTTTCTTTATTC